TCTAATTAAATTAATTTCCCTTTTAATTTTTAATTCTTATGGAATTTGGGGGTTTTTCTCCTCCATTGTTTCTTTCATATTTCAATGTCCGATTTCATTTATCAGCCAACCTAAAGTTTATTTGTAAAATCAAATATATTTTTTTCCATTGACCAATGAGTGGAATCCTTCCCATTGTTTCTTTTATCTCCCAGTGCTGGTTTCATCTACCAGCAGACCCACAGCTGGTTTGGAAAGACAAATCCACCATTCCTCTCACGAGCACAAAATGTTGGCCAGGGTCTGCTGCAGAAGGAGGATCAGTTCAGCAGCAGGTTTTGCATGGATTCTGACAGGATCAGGATCAGGTTCAGTTCTGCAGGAGGTTTTGCCTGGATTCTGGAGGGATGAGGATGAGGATGAGGATGAGGATGAGGATGAGGATGAGGATGAGGATGAGGATGAGGATCAGTTCTGCAGGAGGTTTTGCCTGGATTTGGACAGGATCAGGATCAGTTCTGCAGGAGGTTTTGCTTGGATTCTGGCAGGATCAGGATCAGGATCAGGGATCAGGATCAATTCAGCAGGAGGTTTTGCTTGGATTCTGGCAGGATCAGGATGAGGATCAGGGATCAGGATCAGCAGGAGGTTTTGCCTGGATTCTGGGGGGATCAGTGCAACAGGAGGTTTTGCCTTGATTCTGGAGGATCAGGATCGGTTCAGCAGGAGGTTTTGCCTGGATTCTGGCAGGATCAGGATCAGGATCAGGATCAGGATCAGGATCAGGATCAGGATCAGTTCAATAGGAGGTTTTGCCTTGATTCTGGAGGATCAGGATCAGGATCAGTTCAGCAGGAGGTTTTGCCTTGATTCTGGAGGATCAGGATCAGGGATCAGGACCAGTTCAGCAGGAGGTTTTGCCTGGATTCTGGCTCCTTCCTGCCCCACACATTCCTGGCACCACGGCTCCCAGCAGCCTCCCAGGGGGCTCAGCCAGACACAAAGCCCCCCTGGTGCCAACAAATTCCTGCACAGCAGCAAAATGCCTGATGAACAAATTAACAATCCCTGGCTGCTGGCCACCCGTGCAGCAGGCCCCAGCTTGCAGCAGGAATTGCTGCCCCATTTCGTGCTCCGGATGCTCCAAGGTGAAAGGGAGCTTTGTCCCAGAGCCAGGGATGCCTCAGGCTGGCCAGCAGCTCCTCCTGCTCAAAGTCTTGGTGCCAGGACAAAGGCAGGGCTGGGCACCCCACTCTGGGCTCCTCAAGGCCTTGGCCAGCTCCCAGCTCCAAGGGGAAGGGGGGAATTCTGGTGTCTCACTGCAAGTCCTGACCAGGGACACCCTCTGGAAATGCATCCAGAGAACACTATCCCCTGTTATTGCTGTTTTTAGGGATTATTCTCCTTGTTCACAATTCTCCCATACTGAACTGTGTTCCTATCAGCAAACTTATTGGGGCAATAAACTCTAGAATTGCCAAACCTCTTTGCAACATGCTGAAATCCTAA